TGGTCAGTTTAGAGTTTTTTATTAACCTAATTGGCATGTTTTTCCATGGTTAGAGGACACATAACAACAGAAACAGAGAAAACCCACACTTAAACAGAAAGAGCATGCGCATAGAGAGGACCTCAGCTGGGATTTGAACCAGGGACCCTATTGCTGTGAAATTCAACTGTGCTAACCAGTGCTAACCAGTGCTAACCAGCGCACCACCACGTTATTAGCACAAAATTGTCTCATGGATGAGTGTAATACTCCTCAGTAAGTGGCAGAAGATGTGCCATGTATGTGATTGTGGCAGCCTTGTTTAGTCTGCTTTATTTGGATTTGTTTTTTATATTAAATCTGTTTTAGCTTGACTTACAATACCACAATTCACAGACCAACTATTACGGTGGAAACAAAAATAACCTTTTGAAAAATATCATATCAGTTTTCTGTGTAAATTATCACAACGTAAAGGCACTACACATTTTGCATTACATTTTCATTTAGCTTATGTCTGTAACTGGTAGCATGATAGACAGCTTTGGTCCCACGTTTAGAGCATATTTACATACTGTTATGGCATCTGGTCAGGATCAGTCTTGAGAATGGTACAAAAAATGCTCTTCCAGATAGTGAGCAAGAACACTGAGGGGGTTTTGCACAGAAAGAAGATGGCCATTAACAAATCAATATCACCATTCAGTCCCTAATTAAATTTGAATGGTCGAGTTCTGTGTTGTTGTTTTTTTTGTTTTGTTTTGTTTTGCTTCAGCCCATTGTACAGTCAGACACCCAGCTTTCGTATTACATTTTCTTGTACGTTTTTACTTCAACATGGAACATGGATTTACATTGTTTGTTTTCTTTTTTTTTTAAATAAAGAAAAGGTTGTCTTGAAGGTAATATATCTTGCTTTTAAATGCCCATGATTATGGGACCATAACATAGATGCAAATTACATTTGCCAGTGAAGCTGATCACCAAACTTCCCAAAGCCTGGCTTATGCACTTTTTTTTTTTTCCTTTTTTTTTTTTTTTTTTTCATTTTCTTTGCACATCTCTTTGGTTCAGAAAGAAAATTCTCCAAAGAGATTTCTTTTTTAAATTCAACCTTGTCCTGTTCAGCATTATGGCAGCTATTCTGAACACATTTGCTTTGCCAAGGGAGGCTTTATTGGTGAAAAGTCCCCCTTGATTATCCAACAATGCTTTATTTATTTATTTTTGTTACTAAACTTTACATGTATCCAATAATGCCGAACCTGACAGAGGGACAGGGAAGAACGAAGATAAGAAAAGAAAAATCGAATAGGAAAAAGATCCTTTAGGCAGAGAGAGAAAGAGAAAAAGAAAGACAACAGAGCCAGTTGCTATGTCTGTATAAAAGAAACAGTTTCTTGTGGGCAATTGAGCGATCCGGGCGATCCGGACGGATGCTGTCTTCAGAACTTATGATCATTGGTGTGCAAGTTAGGCTTAAGTCACTTTTTGCATCCACTGAAATTCCTCAGGAATCTTTCAGTATCTTTATTTATATCATCCAGTCTCGAGATAGAAATGTCTGCATCACTTCTAATCTATTTTAGAGGTGTGTTGTTCGTTAAAGTTTTAATGATTTTCTTGAGTGTTTATTGACTGACTAGAGATCCTGATCTTTGCTCTCCAGAGTATCTGAAATTTGTGAATAATGCTTGGTCTTAGTGTCGATAGTGTTTTTGTGTCAAACTAATACTACAATCACTTGTTCATATCAGCTTATGACAAAATGTTATATTCTATTTTCTTATATTCTAGACTTCATTTCTTGCCTGAAATAGGGTAGCATGCACATTTGTTGTCCATGTTTGTGTTATCAGAAGCAAAGGGTGCTGAACTCGCCAGCAATCTCCTGTTTTATCGCTTTTACTCATTCATTTTTCCTTTTTGAGCAAGAAGCAACAAGAATTCTTAATACAGCAAATACAAATCAGGGTGATGTTTGTTAAATGTAACTTTGGAGCTACCTTAGCCTTCAAAACATCAAAAAATAAATCTGTTGTTAGGCTGCTGAATTAAAAAAAAAAACACTATCAATTGATTAAAATATAGTTTCTCCATAATGTGTATCATTAACATTAAGCTGAATTCCTTGAGGTGGACTTGCTTAAGCTCATCTTGTTGAATAAATAGGTGAGGATTATCTGCTCCACCTCCAACAAATCCATTGAACCCCAAACGATATTGGCTCTGGATCACACAAACAAAAAATTATTGTAGCAAATTTACTTAAATGTTTACCATATCAGGTAAACAATTTCAATTTCTTAATCTAAAACCTCAAGTCTATTTCAAATTTAGGCAGAAGAATTGTTAACAATTTTTTTAAATGAAAGACATGATTTTCCAAATTGTTTTTTCAACGTTTAAGACACATTTTCCAAGAACATGCTTTTTGTGATTTTGTGTAGCTGTGAGTTTGTTTGTTGTAAACATGTGTGGAACATAATGACTGTGATGGCACAGACCAGAAACAGTGTGGCTTCAAAGACATGCACATTGTAAGGGTCAGCGATCAGATGTCTCTCATCCTTAATGTCCTGTGTCTTTTTTCCAAACATACAGGAGGGGACCTCAGGTTTTAAAAAATTATCTTTTCCAACCATGCTTTTATGCCATTAGTTTGAGTTTTGTTTCTTTAAGTTTTCTACTTTTGCTGATCGCTTCTGTCCTCTTGTGGTGAAATACTGAAAACACACAAACAGAAGTGCATACAGTGTTTTCTCTATGCTGTTGCTGATGTTGAGCATCATTTAAAAAAATTGATTAGTAATCTCTTTGATCAAACGTTTAACGAAATCTTTATTTATTTTCAATGTCTGTACCCACCACTAGTGGACACAACGTGTAGTCCATACTTCTTGCTTATTGTTCTAACACAAATGTTCATCCTATTTACTGTATGAATTGTTCTATGTGGTACAGATGTCCAAGTTTCCTTTTCAATCTTTTTCATGTTTGATCAAATCCTTCCTACAAATCCATTTAACTCAAATGAATCCACTTAACAATTTTTTACAAATCGATTCCTTGATTTGATTTGTAAAATTCATCAGAAGGTATATGGTGAAGTAAACAACCTCCGGGAGTCGCTGCTGAACCACTTGTGAAACTGCTTGTGTGTGATCTAATAATAGATATTAGTCTTTTTTTTTTGTCTGTGTAGGTGTGTTTGTGTGTGGTGTTACAAACAACAAAATTCTCGACTAAAATTAATCATATTTATAGGATAAGAATTAAGATAAAAGAATGAAGCACTCAATAATAAACATGAAGATGAAGAAACCATCACAGAGTTTCAACGGCGTCTTACATGTCCTTTTTTTCCCTTTTAACTATCCCCTTTCTGTGATCAGTTGGTCTGAATTGCAGACAGGCCAGTTCATCACCTTGTAGTGAGCAATGCGGAATTTCTGCTCAATTTCTATCTGTTAAAACACACAATTACGGCACTTTTCCAGACTGTTTTGTAAATTGCCGGTGGAACTTCTGCGTACAATATTTGCACTTTTGACATTCTCTTTTTTGTGATCTCACCGGCAGGGACGCTGTTTTCATGTGTTCGCAAATGCAGAGCATGGACAAAATAAATAACAAGTGGGTGGAGGTTTGAACCCTATTCCTTTTGATTATTGTCGGGAATTGAGATCAGTATCAAAAAGATTGCAAAAGCTTTCAGGACTGTCAGAGAAAGAGGAGAAAGACAAACATGGGTCCAGGAGTCACAGGCAATGGCAACCTGACAACAAACATAGCTGAGATGGGTAAATAGCATTGCATAGCAAAAAAGGAAATGTAAAATCCACTAAGAGCAACAAAAACCAAGATTTAGCTCTATCAGAACCATTTTCATCCTGACATTTTAATATGTTGTTCTCGTTATTTGAGAACATAATATCCTTACAGAAATGATTTTATATCGTAATCTCACATATTGTGTCCCATGGGTCACAAATAAAAGTGTGTTATTCTGCATTCCTCTTTTGCTTAGTTATGAGTGGAAAACTGAGGCTTTTAGGAAAGAATACAGCACTGCCCATCTTCTGTCAATAGAAATGACTGAACGGAATAGTGACTAACTATATGGGACATATATACAGAAACAAAAAAAATCATTTTGTCATTTTTATGAGGTATATGGAGGAGCAAAGTAAAGAAGAATACGGTTTTGCACATACTTCTATTTCATAAGGTCATAATCAGGTTATTGAACCCACCTGATGATTGTAAAAAAAACTAATAGTTGTTGCAAATCTGTGCCTGATGTTCTCTGAGTGTCTCTCTGCAATATGAGTAGAGTATAGACAACTATGTTCCAAAGATGTTCTACAAATGAAGTATTGAGAAATTAGTACAAATCCTGCATTACACAACAGTGGCATCCAGATACGTCACTTAAACCGAGGTCAGAGTTGGTGAATGATTTGGTTATTTGTATTGTTTTTTTACTGCAGTTTAGCTCTTTCACCACCATTTGTGTGCACCTCAGTGCAGATGGCGTTGATCACAGTTTGATGGACAAATTGTTGTGTGTCTCTGTCTTTTCAAACTTAAAATGTGAAGACAATAAGCTGACTTAACAGAATGCGCAAGCTTTATTTGCTCAATTGATTCCTGCAAATGATTACCAGAATGTTAAAAGACAGCCCAAATAAACTTTTACAGGAAACCCTTTTTTCTTTGCTTTTTTTCTGCAGATTATAAACTGAGTAACCACACTGGGGTACAAAATTGAAAAAAGCTTTTTCATACATGCACAGCTATATTTATGAAAAATTCATTTTTAATAGCTTATTTAATGCTTATTCCTTATTCCTCACAATTGTTATTACATATGTTATTTATTTGTCTATTAAAGGAAATTCTGCTGTTTCCAATGGTTTGTCAATCATCCAGTGTTTTACATTTGGCACTGTGTGGCCACGTCCTCTTTTCTGTCTTTGAGTCTACTATTGGAGGCTGAATACACTTGTGTAATCATTGAGCAATCTCCCTGTCTTTTTTTTCTTTGGTAAAATCCAAAGCTCTCTCTGTATATAACAGTGCGTCAGCATTAGTTCTCCTGTTCTGTGTCTCATGGTAATGTAGAGAAAATGCACTTGATTTTCCATAGCTGTGTTTTTTTTCTGTGGATGCAAACATTGACCTTTGTGAGAGGTAAGTCCTGGGAACCCTTGTAACTCATTTCTGAATTTATTCGAATTTCAATTGATTAATGAGACATGGTTTATTTCATCCAACAAATCTGAATAAATTCATTTTTGTTTGCTGCTATCCCACAGCATGTACAGTTGAAAGTTTTAAAACAAGCAGGTTCTATGATTCAAATTTTGATACAACTGGTTTGGAGGACAGTTATGCGGGTGGAGCTCAAGTGAGAGTGCCATGTAGTATTGGCTACGGTGGCTTTTTCAAGATGATCTGTACTGACAGCGGATGGTCTCCTACTCCAGGCAGCTCAAAGTGCAG